TATATATATATATTATAATATTGTAATTAAGATATATATATATATATATATATATATATTATAATATTGTAATTAAGATATATATATATATATATATATATATTATAACATTGTAATTACATATATATATATATATATATATATACATTATAATAAGATATATATATATATATATATATATATATATATATATTATAAATATTGTAATTATATATATATATATATATATATATATTATAATATTGTAATATATATATATATATATATATATATATATATATATTATAATATTATATATAATATATATATATATATATATATATATATATATATATATATATATATATATATTAATTAGATATATATATATATATATATATATATATATATAATATTATATATATATATATATATATATATATATATATATATATATATATATATATATATATATATATATATATATAAATATATAAAAATAATTCATAAATTTATGTCAGATTATTTTCAGTGGATACCCATGTTTGTATAAGCACACTGTTTTTTGTGTGTGTTTTTTTTTTTTAAATAGTGTGTACTACATCTATCAGCCTGCACACTTGTTCATTTCTTAAAATATTAAATATAACCGTCATGGGCTGACACTGTGTCTGAGTAGTCTAAAGCATGCTGGATCAGACAGTGGAGAGCACATTTTCTTGAGTATGCTGGTCGATAGATAATACACATTTTAAGAAAAAACAATTTCATTGATTCATTTTCTATGGCTTATCAATCCTTTGGAGGTTATTTAAAACCAGAAAATATTTTCAGATAGTAAGAATTTTTTTGTGATAATTATTTAGCAATACAAATGTTACTAATTAACCCATAGCTGGGGGGAGGTGGATTAACTACTTTCTCAAGGATATTTATATGTAAATGAATATAATGAATCCAAATGGAATTAGAACTCGGTTCTCCAATTAACAATTCCAAGGCATTATCCATTACACCATCCACACATCTAAGCTTACAGTATCTAGTATTCCCAAATGGTCACCTATGTAGGTACTGATCAAGCTCAATGTTGCTTAACCTCGGTGATTGTACAGGAGCTTTGTTTCAACATATGGCTGTTAGTCACAAAACAGGGCAACTATTCAAACACAGGTATACACTAAAAATAATGTTTGAAGTAATATATATATGTGTGTGTGTGTGTGTGTGTGTGTGTGTGTGTGATAATTAAAAACAAAATACTTCAAGATGATTTCATTCCAAGACAAATTTTCCCATTTATTTTCATCTTTATGTAAGTCATTTCAGTTCATCAGCTCAAATGTTCAGCTAAGGCTTCATGGAATGCTCATTCTTTAATTAGATAACAATCAGTTTATCATATGCATTGGTAGATCAATCCTTTCAATAATTTTATGTGCTTGTGAGACAAGAAGTGATTTCACAGAATAAAATTCAGACTATCCTTCTTATAAGATCTTTACAATATTCCAGTTTCATTACGGTCAGTCCATTGCTTTATGTATGCAGATAGATACGCTCAATTGTTCAATGTCCGTGTTCACCTAAATTGCAAGAATCATGTCCAATGACAAGTTAATCAGATGCACAAATCTTTAGGATTCGAGTGATAACAGCAGATAAGTTATTTAGAAAATAATCTTACATATTTAGAGAAGGAATGCAAACCCATGGAAATATAGCAAAAGTTAAATTTGTCAAAAAAAAAAAAAAAAAAAATATCATCATCACTGTCAATAGCTATTACAAAAGTTGAGTATGAAACAAAATTCTTTTATTTTTTGTTGGAAAGAAACATCTCGTGATTCTGAAGGAAAAGTATTTTGATTATGATGAATTGATCTCTCTTACTTTTCACACATTTTTTAATACTAAAATTTACCCAATACAAGGCTTGAGAACCACTGTTAAAATGGTAATGATGAGATGTCTGTGCTACCTGAACCAGTGCTTGAACTCACAATTATTATGTCACCAAATTCACAAGCCAATACATGAATAAAGATTCAGACTGTGACAATAGGGCTAACAATAACTCAGCAGTACTAAAAAAAAAAAAATAAATAAAAATAAAAAAAGATATCCCTAAACAGGATCAGTGGAATGAAAACAATCTCAGTCTTTAGATTAAATAAAAAGTACAGTTCAGAATTCCCTCAAAGTTACCAAGCAGCATATTATGTTATCCTAGATGTTATTACCACCGTAATTAAAACTACCATGATGATTATTGAAAGTTTAGCGAAAGATAAAGGTTACTGCGAATGCAATCATAACTCGATGTTTACATTTTCTCAGCTGAGCTTGCATGGATACAAGTTGATTTCATTGATATGGAATTATTCTCCGAATAGGCAATTCATTATGAAGTTATGCCAGTAATATATAGAAATGGTTTTATTAGTTTTATTATTAGTTCCTTTCATGATGTGAATCTTTTCATGTATGTTATTGGTTATCGCACCAAAGCCAAGTTTAGCCTACTGACAAACATCACTCAGAATTTAAGGTTTCTTTTTTAGAATTGTAGCATAAGATGACCCCACAATTTTTAAGAGTAATTTTTTGGGATTTAAAGGTTGTCTCATATGCAGAAATATACGGTGCATATATATATATATATATATATATATATATAACCACAGAGAAATGCATTACATATTACAACAGCTGATTTTTCTTATTTAATAATTACAATGTCTGCAAGCAATTTCATATTGTTCTCTATACAAGCAGTTTAATTTCTTTTCTGACAGAATCTGATTGACAGTTCCATTACAATGCTTTTTCAATACTTTATGTCACAATGCAAAACATTTAACCAGCCAAGAGATAACCAACTATGAATACATAACAGCAGCCAATTTTTCTTTTTTTTTTCTACTGCATCCCAGCCAAAACAAAGAAAATAAGAAATTACCAAATGAAATATTGTCATATTATGATAGCTGTAATATTTAAGCAATCTTTAAAAATGCTTTGTTTAGTTTATACTTCTTTAATGACATATTGGATGTGATGGTCACATTTTCTGTACACTCTCCTTATAATTAAAGCGTGACTAATTTAGAGAATGAAGAGGCATCATAATTTCTCATTAGATTCAGTTTCTGGCATTTAATAACTTCATTAATTATTCAGACTAGTATCCTAATCTTTGTTGTTTTGATCATTGTTTTATCCAGTGTGTTACCCGTTTTCCCCAAATTGCCATATTTAGTAATCTTTGAACAGGACCTTTTTTCATCCACATTTTTCTTTTTTTTAACTAACTCTTAGCACTATTACAATTAACACATAATGTATGTTGGAATGTTGTGTATCACCTTAGAATGGATATACACATCTGTCAATGGTTTTATTTCAGGCAAATAGCTACAGCAACAAACTAAGCCCAGCAAAAGATATTATTTTGTTGTACTATACAATTTTTGATATGATGTGGGGTATTTTTATGGACTATTTTTACCATATTAACACTAAATCCATCCCAACCATTTAATCATGTCAAATTATCAAGACACAAATACCCAATGGTTATTCTTCAAGTGATGCCAAATATAAACCAATAGAAAGCAGCAGTGACAAGCTACATGCTTCTCTTCAGAGTCTTTAGAAACAAAAGCATTTAAAAACCTTATCAATTTGAAGTGAAAAAGGAAAGAAACACCAAGAAACATAGCAATCAAGTGCTTTTCTTGTCAACTATTCTGAATTATTTCTCTAAAGAACAACAAAAACATTCTCAGTGTCGTTTTGTTTTGTTTTTTAATCTCGATTTGTAGAGCTGCTTTTTAATATAAAAAACCACTATGATACACAAATGCATCACATGACACTGTGAAGAAAAAAAAGCTGCACATTTGCATCATTTTTTATGGTTTAATAAATTATATTTACCAAAATAAAACAGTGTTATAAAGCAATTTCTAATGGTAATTCTAATAGAAACAGAGATAAAGGATTCAACTATCCAGGGTAGCTGTGAATGTATTAAAGCAATCCAAACACTAAAAATTCATCTCTATTTTAATAGATTTTATCCTAAGGATATGGCTCAATGGTTAGCATAATGCATTTGATTCTCATTCAGTACCCCAGTACTGTGGCCCTGGTGTCAAGTCTAAGCAAATCTTTATTAATATCATTATTTCTTTGCCTTGGTTATCAAAGCAACAAAGACAAGGATACAAATTAAAATAATTAATGAAATAATGACATTACTTCATCTTAGTTCAGGCAATAGCTAGCATTTAAATTCTTCAAATCATACAGATGTTAGTTACCAGAACCCAGTGACTGCCTTAGTTTCAAGAATGTAGTAAACTGGACCAGTGTCTACATGACTCACACCCACATAACCTATTTTTATATTTTAATCCAAACTGCTTTAAAACCAGAGCTGGAACAAGGCTATTTCAATCTGACAATTCCAATACTTTCAGGATTAGTAATCTTGGTAGAAGCTAGTTCATGCTTCTCTTCAGAGTCTTTATAGAAGTAAAAACATTTAAAAAAACATTATAGACTTGAAATGAAGAAGGAAAGCAACTCCAAGAAACATAATTGATGATCAAATCAGAAAAAAATATTTACGTCAATATTTTGATGCGTATTTGCAGCATCTTGTGAACAATGGTTGGAAATGATTCAGAATCAATTATCTATAGGTTTTCTTCTTTTTTTTAAGTTACCATTTGTCCAAAGGGAATTAAACCTGATGCCGTATTATGTAAGAAACACCCCACTCCAAAAAAAAAAAACAAAAAAAAAAAAAAAACAACAAAAAACGCATCATAGGAACATCAAAGTAAATAACACCACATTTCTTGTGTTAGTGATAAATCTGTTGTTCTTTGTTTTCTTTCATAGAAAATTACCAATATAATCTTAGTAACTTCTCCAAAGTAATCACCATCACATTCCTATTGTCAGTGATAATTCTGATATTTTTTTTGTCTCCAAGAAAGTTACTGAAATCATGAGGCTCCAAGATCAACTGAGATTCTATTTTCATCCTGTCCACTTGTCTGGGACCAAGCATTGCATGTATTATAATCAGAATAATATTCTGTTAATACCCCATGTTGTACACTACAAGCAATGCCTTGCCTCTTCAATCGGTGTAAATAATACATAAACTGCAAACGTGACCACAGTCCTCTGCACATAGCAATCAAGCGATAGTCTTTGATAAAGTGATCCTTAGCAAATGAATACTGCTTTCTGGAATAAAGAAAAAAGGAAGATTAAATGGAGAAACATTTTAATATATACAAGAACAGTCAAACTTCTTTAAATAAAACCTTCCAAATGATTTATGCTTTATTTAACAATTTATTATATTATAAAAGAAGAGGAAAAAACAAAGAAAATTTATGACCAAAAACCATGTTTTTATATAGCCATTAAAAAAAATATAATAAATAAATAAATCACTCTCATGGCAATCAGTTACGAATTAGTAATGGGTATGATCATTAATAAGTGCTCCTCAATCTTGGCCTCATGCCACATCTAAGTTAATCTGAGTAAAGTGCTAAAAATCATTTCTTGGCCTTTTGGCTGAGATCAAAGTGTAGTATCTGTCATTGGAGATGAGAGGAAGCACCTAGTCCTGGGGATTCCAACCCTGTGGCAGGATCTTCCTCACTGCCCTAAGAGAGGTGGAGTTGGTGTAATATCAATGTCAGTGTTAGTATTTGCAGGGGACTGTGCTATTTTTGTCTTTAGCCAATATACATATAGGAACCCCACATAATTAAAAAGACCTTGTATTATATCCTGCCTTACTGGGGAAGTCAGGTAAAATATTAAAAGCAAAATAACAGGAGAATGAAGAGCAAGGAAAAGTAAAGCATAATTACCATAAAGCAAGTAAAATGAAACAGGAAAAAGGAATAAAAAAAGAAAGAAAGGCTGTTTTATAGCTTTATTACAAAGTGAAGTTAGGAAGGTACTTTAAGTTAAGAAGGTACGGAAAAATATTCCAACTTTGTGATTGGTGCTCTAATTCTCAAAAAATGTTCCACTTCTGACCAAATCTGGACATGTTTTTTTTTTTTTTCAAAATCTTCTTTCTCTCTTCACTTGTTTTTGATGATAAAAATCTGCTGTGATTGTCCTTATTTCAAGAGTTTGTAACAAAACAGAACCTTCCTTATGCAAAATGGCATGGAAACTGGATTCGGTGAGCAGAGATATTCCAGCCAAGTCTATTGCATGCAGTTTCTATTAGTACCTTAAAAAAAAGGCACAAATCCATCTTTTCTCCCACCCAATAGGTATGGGTTAAATAGCAGTGAAGACTAAGCTTTATAGACTTGTATGGTAACCATTTAAAGAGAATGAAAAACTGAATCTTTACTAGTTGATGTCAATTGCAGATTGAACATACATACAAACTTCACAATTTATATCAAAGATGATAAAAGCTCATTTTATTCCTTGTTAAAAAAAAATGTATTGAATTGACCTACATCTATACTTATAAAAGTTCTTCCAATAAAAAAATATTCTTGTGATGTTATTATAAAATCAGGGAGGTGGGGGACATCTAATAAAGTTATAAAAACAGACATTACAAAAGCAAAATACAGGCAAATGAAGAGCAAAAAAAAAAAAAAAAGGAAGAAGAATCAACATGAAAGCAAACCAGAAAAAGGAAAATAAAAAGCTAACTGTCCAATTGTCATAAAAAAAAAAACAGTTGAAGTTAAAAAGAAAAAAAAAAAAAAAAAAGAAGAAAAAGAAAAAAAGAAAAAAAAGAAAAAAGAAAAAAAGAAAAAATAAAAGAAGAAAAAAAAAGAAAAAATAAAAGAAGAAAAAAAAAGAAAAAATAAAAGAAGAAAAAAAAAAAAAAAAAAAAAAAAGAAAAAATAAAAGAAGAAAAAAAAAGAAAAAATAAAAGAAGAAAAAAAAAGAAAAAATAAAAGAAGAAAAAAAAAGAAAAAATAAAAGAAGAAAAAAAAAAAAAAAAAAAAAAAAAAAAAAAAAAAGAAAAAAAAAAAAAAAAAAAAGAAAAAAAAAAAAAAAGAAAAAAGAAGAAAAAAAAAAAAAAAAAAAAGACGGGTGTTGGGGGTAAATACCAAAGGTCATATTACCCAGAAACTCTAAAGTAGCTGTAGATAAAGTACCTCTGGAATTTTGATATCACTAAAATGATTTGCAAGAAAAACCAGAAAGCTACAAAGGTTTAAGTTTACGATAGAAAACAAATCTCTTTATATCCTGAATATGAAGATGAGATGGAAAAAAAATAAAAAGACAAAATATAAATGTTGAAATTTACAAATTATTTTCACTGGAAAGCTGCTGGAAAACAAATGATATTAATATTTATAACAAAGAAAAATATATGAAATCTAATTACAGCCCTAAAATCACAATTTAGATAATCAATCTGAAGCAATCAAATTTCTAATTACCTGATGATAAGTTTTGATTTTTTCAGGTAACCCCTTTGCATGAGGCTAAGTGCTATGTACAAGTAACACCGGGCGGCTATCAAGGGGTCGCATATCATAAATGCAATCTTAAGTTGCCGTAATGCTATTTTACCAGCTTCAAGAGACTGAAAAATAGAAATTTAAAAATTATAAAACAAATCAGAAGAAAGAAAAAAAAAGGGTAAAAGTTTTTAAATGGTGTTCATGATTTTTGTTAAAGAAGCATCAAGCAGTCCATCTAGCTAGACAGGATTCTCATCTCTTATCTTTCACCCACTATCTTATTGCTTCTGATTTTTTTAATATTTTTATACTGACTTAACTTTTATACACTTTCTTGAGTGTTCTGAACAAAACATAAAAAAAATAATGACTTCTGTAAAATTATATCCATATAGGTCTTATAGCAGAATTAAAAAATAAAACAAATATTTCATTATGCTAGAAAAAATGATTAGTTTTTTGCACTGCTCCAGAATGTATCAACTCCTCCTACCATACTCTATCTTTACAATAACCAGATCAGACCAAAAATGGGAATATGGCTGCCATAGCTGTGCTGGAGTTAGCCAATCTTCAATTTCAAGCCTTGGCAAAGTTCAAAAGTGTTTACATGGCCTTGTAGGTAATTAATTATTTTTAACCCTACAACCCTGTCCCCACAGACAAAATGTTGCTAAACTCACGCTATTTTTATGGCAGTTGTTCAGACGAGCTACATTCTTTAGTTCCACCAGTCCAGACTTTCAGTTAGGTCAATTCATTCTCATATGGAATTTCTTACTCCTTCTTTGTAAGCTTCTACAACATCATAATCAATAACCTTCTATCTTGAGCAGCTCTTGGGCCCTGTATTGGGTGAATAACATTATCAAAAATAATAATTGTTTTTATACTAAACTTCACCTAAGATTGAGGATTAATGTGAAAATGATTATAATGAATGAAATGTGATATGAGTGAAAGAGGAGGTGGTAGGAATCGAAGGAATTGACCCTTGACTTGAAGAGGTTAAGATTATAGTGTATAAGGAAGCAATCATGCAGGAGGAGTCTTTACAAAGTAGTAGTAGTAGTAGTTCTTAAAAAACTATTCTCCTTACATTTGGAATATGGTTGAAATTAGTATGATTTGGAAGTATCCTGGTGTAATGCTTTCAACTGATAGAGCTAAAGAACAGAGCTCATCTAAACATTTGCCAGGTAAATAGCAATGGAGTAGTGATAGGTTTGTGATGATGTATCTTTGGGAAAGAGGCTGCCACTTACCGAATAAGTCTTCTTCCACAAGGCAGCCTAAACAATTTAGTGCCAGCCTACATACAGCAGCAATACTCTATTTTTGATAATTTGACTCTTGTAAAGGCAAAGCATGGCAGAAGGAGTCAGCTAATTGCTGGACTGATAGCGTGAGTCAGACATTTTTCCAGCATTTTTTTTTTTAATTGTTTCATCCCAAGCAAGGTGATAATGCCACTAGGGTGCAGGGGGTGGGTACATGGAGTGAAAGAGAATGAGAAGACTTTAGTGAGGAGAAGTGAGGAAAGGACAACAAAAGAACAGGTTCAGGAAGACAGAAGATGACAATTGATGTTGCATTTAAATTTTTGATTATTTACATTATTTGGACTGGTATCCTGATCTTCATTGCTGTATTCACAATATTTTGGCTGTTGTATGCTACAGCCTTCTCTAGATGTTTGAAATGACCCTTCTTTGAATTTAATCAAGAATCTCAAGATATATGGTAGAAGCACCAGACCAGATATGGCAGCAGCATGGATGAATAGCAAATTTATAAATGTACAAGATGGATTCTGACAAGAGTATCTTTAGCTATGGAGCAGCTACCTAAGCATAGGAGAAATTAAAAATGATTAAATTACATTTCTGTAATTTTATAAAACATTTTCAGATGTTACTTTATTATTTAAGAAATATCTAAGAAGTAACTCAATCTTTGTTCTTGATCGTCTTTCAATGTCTTCTCAGAAAAATTTGGGAAAATTCACAGGTATTCTTTGATCAAATTTATTGTTAAATCCCAAATATTAGATTTGTATCTTTAATAGTTTTAAAATCAGAGCATCTTGAAATTGCACTGCATTTTACTAAATAAGGTTCTCAATGAATTTTTGACAGTCATAGTTCTAAGGAAATTGCACATACAAATTTAAAGTGTGGTGACAATAGTTGATATTTGCCATAGGTTACAAACATATAAACAGCTTAAATGTGGCTTATGTAAATTTATTTTTATACGGACTTGAAACTGGCTGAAATACAAAAGACTGCATCCAAATTAGTTTTCCTCTCAATTATGAGCTTACAAATTATTTCTATCTAGTAACTATTAAGGATAGGGATTTATATATATATATATATATATATATATATATATATATATATATATATATACACACACACACACACACTATGAATAATAAAAATAATAACAACACTTATTGATATAAATAAAAATAATGTATGTCAGAGTAAGCAGAATTTTGTCAAAGAAATACTAAAAAGATACGTAGAGCAATAATTAGTATTCTAAAATAAATATAAAAAAGTTACTTATCAAATCCAATTTAGTTTTGCTATGTTTCACTTGTCAGAAATTTTAAATTTTAGATTTGAAAATTTAGCTAGAGTGCTTGTAAAATATATATTCAGTTAATATAATATTCTTGTCTGGACTATGATAAGCAAACAATACAAAGCATTAAATCAGTCTTTAATAAGTATTTTGAATTTTTGATAACAATAATACTATAAATATATGCATTCACATAAACATGTGGATAAATAAATAAAACATGTGAGTCAAAAGTGGCACATAAGGTAGGAGCAATTTTTAGCAACTTGCTTTCTCTCTACATTTCTTCACGCATACATTATACACACTTTAAAAGAATTGATATCGGGGGTATTAGAACAGGATTAATTTAACTGTTTTATTTTCATTGTCCTTCCTTTATAATTCAGATTCATTTTATTTTTATTTTTTACTTCTTTGAACATATTTATGACATTTCTCAAATGAAATGTCTTAAAGCATTTTAAGAGAAAGTAAAATTGCCACTCAAATATTTATACAATGATACTCAAATTTCCAATGATAAAATTCTGCAGATAGCAATGGTTCTGAAAGGGAGATATGTTGACATTGCGAACTGTACTTTTTTTTTATTATTAAATACTCTACTTATAAAAATGTAACAAATATGATGTATATGAAAATATCAAAAGTTTGGGGCCCTTCTATTTCTTCTTCTATTTAAACATACATAGCCATTTTTTTTAATCATCTTGTCCCAAGCAAGGTAATAATGCCACTAGAACACAGGTGACTACAGGGAAAGTGAGAAGACTGAAAATGAAGATTGAAAAAACAAAACAAAAATGAAACATGGCTTAAGAAGAGAGAAGATGACAATTGATGTTGCATTTAAATTTTTGAAGATTGTAGTTATCAAGGAAGTGAGAAATCAGAAGAGAGTTCCACAGCGGGGAAGTGTGAAAAAATAAACTGTTAGAGTAGAAGTGGTGGTTGAATCTAGCTAGTTCAACAGTAAAACAGTGAGATCTAGTTGCCAATCTAGTAGCAAGCTTAAATTCATGTAGTCAGGGCACCAGGGAAAAAAAGCCTCTCAGCAGTTGCTATGAAAATATTTGTACTAAAAGACAAAGGGAATCCACATTATGTTGGTGGGTAAGTGACTGAAGTTGAGATGCCTGGTCAAGATCAATTACATTACAGATCCTTCTTTGGATTCTGTCAAGAATCTCGAGATGAATAACAGGAGCACAAGACCAGATATGATAACAGTATTCAATGCACAAATGAGTGATAGATTTAGAAATGTTCAATATAGATTCTGATGAGAACATTTTTCTGGCATGACAGTGACCATGATTAATTTTGCACAAAACAAGATGAGTTCAGTCTTACAAAGGATTTGTTACAATGATTTAAAGCAAAGTTTTATAAGGCCAGATGCTCTTCCTGATGCCCAATTCAGACATTAGACATACATTGAGTTTTTTAATGAGACACCATATCTTAGAAAGTTGCCATTCAAGTCATCCTAGCCTTATATATATATATATATATATATATATATATATATATATATATATATATATGTGTGTGTGTGTGTGTGTGTGTGTGTGTGTGTTGGCCTTTGGTTCCTATATGAAGCTCATCTGAGCTTTAAAACAGTAATAAATTATTAACAGTAAAAATGTAGCCATCTGTAGAACTGGCTGAGGCTGCCTTTTTTTCTGGTTGCTTACAAGCTTATTTTCACATGGTAAGATGAAACCTCAAAGACTCTTCTTCTAATCAACCTTCTAGCTTATTGAGTCCATGTTCTGACAGGCCACTGGTTGCCAATATTTCTCCCAGCCAGTCTCTTTTGTAACTTTCAGAAACACCAAACACTGAGAAGACTGTCATTTAATTTTGCCCTGTTTCTTGCCTCAGATAGTTACTCTTTCCTGATAAGTGCCAGAGGTCAGTGATCCCAAGTAAAACAGTATTTTGAATGCTGATTTTCAAAGCAGGCAGGCCCTTTTTACTTAAAGGATTGAAAAGACACAAATTCTAGTTCCATTATTTGGCCTTGTGCCATACTAGGCTAAACTTTGTAAGTAACAAGACTAGATCTTGTTTCACTTAATTGCTAATGCACATGAAAATATGACTAGCAAATCCTATTTTTTTTCAATTCCACATAATTAAATACATACATGTTTTTCATAGTAATCTCCAAGAGCAGAGAAACCTCCTCCTAGAGTTGACAGCAATGCCATAGATTCTTCTGTTTTTAATTTCAAAATTACCAAACTTTGAATTCGGTAAAACCTGTAATTAAACAGAATAACAAAAACTGAAGGAAAATTTGAAAGAATCATTCTTTATTAAGTGAAAAAGGAAAAAAAAATATCAACACTATGCCTGTTCATACATCCCTACAAAGTGCAAAACAACTGATACCCACAAATAGACACTCTGACTTTACTGTTCTAAGTCTCTTTACTTATCTAGTGATTCATGAATGATTTTATTGAAAGAAGACAAAATAAAAATGATATAAGCTGTTCAGTGACAAATTTCCTCAGATTTTGGAGAGAGTGAGAATATAATTAAAACAAGATTTATTTTATTTATAACATTACTACTTATAATGATATTCCAAGCATTGCTTAGATGTAGCACAAGGCCAAAAATATGGGCACCCAGTGAGGATCGAACTCATTACTCAGTCATAATTGTTCTAGCAAGACAAGCTTGCTAATCATTAAACTGCTTCTCGGTGCCCAAACATTACTCCTTATAGTATTTGGAGATCAAACAGATAACAGTACCAGACCTTCAGTGGAAAATGAGGAATAAAACAATATGGTTAGATTTGATCTGCAACTGTTGGCCTTCATGACTTACAGAGAAAAAAAAAAAGCTGTGGAATTGAGACAGGTTTTTTTTTTTTGGGTGGGGAGAAGAACAAAGGTTCAAAGTTCACCAAAAACCTTATTCTCTATTTATAATCAGCTGTGTTTACAAATAGCTGTAGAATGATGGGCTGTGTGTAATTGTGATAAAAAGCAACTTAAATTAAGATGAGAAAAATACTAGTTAAAAATAAGTATATATATACCAATTCAATCTAACAAACTTGAGACCTGACCATTGCGAGACCACTTAAAAAAAAAAAAAAAGAAAAAAAAGATCCCTAAGAGAATTCTTTATGTAAAGATTTTATTCAGCACTGACTGGATGGAACTATTTGAACTTTGGGATTTGTTGATAAACATTTATTGTAAAAATGAAAGTGGACAAGCAACCAATTTAAAAAGTCAGAGCGAAAATCTTAAGGAAGAATTACAAAAATGTTTTCCAGATGTTCTGTCAAATGAACTGGGTCAGTGTTCAAAATTCAAAGTGGATTTTCAAGTAAAAAAAGGTTTGATAACAGTATTTAAGCAGAAATAGAGTGTACCATTTGCAGTCAATGAAGAGTTGGACAGACTGGAAAGAATTGGTGCAATAGAAAAAAAGTTAACCATTCAAAATGGGCTGCACCAGCAGTGTATGTAAAGAAAAAAAATAATAATAAAATTTAGGTTTGCATGGATTTCTCAACAGGATTAAACAGTTGTTTAGAAACACGCAAGTACCCATTACCAAGTCAAGAGGAAATTTTGATGTTAAACAACAGAAGAATATTTTCAAAGCTGAATCTCTCTGAAGCGTATTTACAAATTCAGATTGAAAATGAATGTTCAGAATTAATGAACATAAATATGCACAGAGGATTATACAAGCTTAACCGACTTCCTTTTGGTGTAAAGGTGGTACCAACTATTTTTCAACAAGCTATGGATACCATGCTTGTGGATTGCAATTTCACAGTGGTGTATCTGGACGACATTTTAATCAAAAGTTTATCTAAAGAACAACATGTTTGGCATGTGAAAACAATTTTGGAAAAACTAAGAGAGTACAAATTCAAGCTCAGTGAAGAAAAATGCGAATTATTTTTTGCTGAAAATTAAATACCTTGGTCAAATTATATCAATAAAAATGGTTGTCAACCAGATCCATTGAGAGCAAGTGCAATTAAAAATATGCCTCCACCAAGAAACACGACTACATTACAAGCTTTTTTAGGACTGGCTAATTACTATCAAATGTATGCATATAATATGCATAAGTGCTCCACTGAACGATCTACTTAAAAAAGGGAGTAAAGTGGAACTGAAATGATAACTGTCAAATGGTGTTTGACAAAATTAAAAAAAAAAAAAAGACATGTCAGATTTATCATTAGGGCACTATGATCCAAGATCAGAAATTGTAGTGGCATCAGATGCTAGTGAGTATGGTATTGAAGCACACAAATATGATGGCAGTAAAATGAAAGCCTTTGCACATGCTTCACACTCACTTCTACCAGCAGAGAAAGATTACAGCCAAATAGAAAAAGAGGCTTGAGTAATTATATTTACTTTGAATAAATTTAATAAAATTATTCATGGAAGAAATTTTAGGTTGCAAACAGACCAGAGCCCTCTATTAACAATATATGCTTCAAAGAAAGGAATACTTATGCATATATCAAACAGACTACAATGCTGGAGTACCATCTTATTAAACTATGATTTTACAAGTATCAACCATCTAATTAATTAGGACATGCATTATCAAGTTTAATACCTAAAAATGCGGAACCATTTGAGGACACGGTTATTGTTACACTAAAATGTGAAATGGAAATCAAAAGCATTTTGTGTAGTGTAGTATGTGAGTTACCAGTTACACTGGAAAAAATTAAAGAAAAAGCAGAAAATGATGTCTTTATTGCAAAAGTAAAAACACAATTGAAAGTAAGTAACAAAGAACGAAATCCAGACTTAAATGCTTACTTGCTATACAACGTTGTAGTAATGTTCAGGCAAAGGGTTCTAACACCTAGTGCATTACAGAAGCAAATATTGAAGGATTTTCATAGCGGACATCCTGGTGTTTCAAGAATGAAATCTCTGATGAGAAGTTTCATATATTGGACCAGAATGGATCAAGATATTGAAAAAATAGTGAAAGCTTGGAGAAGTTGTGCTCTAGCAGCAAAATTACCTATCACAAAGATAGAACCTTGGCCATAGACAGGCATGCTGTGGTCAAGACTGCATATACATTTTGCAGGTCCTATGAATGGATAACATTATCTTGTGGTAGGTGATAGTTTCACTAAATGGCCAGAAATTTATAAGTGCAAAAATCCAACATCTTCAGTGACAGTGAATTTCTTGCATGAACTTTTTGTGAGATATGGCATACCAGATACCATAGTTTCTGATAGGCTAACACAATTCACAGGTAAAGAATTCAAGTACTTTTGTAAAATGTTCTCCATTGAGCATATTACGACCCTGCCGTATCACCCAATGTTGAATGGACAAGCTGAACAGTTTGTGGGAACATTCAAAAGAGCATTAAAGAAAGCAAGTTTTGAGAAAGTAAATGAGAAAGCATTTCAAAATTTTCTGAGAGTTTACCATGTAACACCTAACCCCAATACACCCTCAGGCATGTCGCCGGCAGAATTAATATTTGCTAGAAAAGTAAAAATCAGTGTTCAACAAGTTATTACCAAATCAAAAAACATGAACAGATAACAAAAATGACACCAAATATTTCAAGGTTGGTGATAAACTGTTCTTGAGAGAATATAAGTATGGTAAAGAAATGTAGGAAGATGGCATAATATCAGCAAAACTTGGGAAGTTGATTTACATTGTAAAAGGGAAAAGATTTTGAATATAAAAGGCACCATAATCAGCGGAACAAAAAAGTGCATCAATGAAAGACCTGAAACATTGGAAGAACTGATAAAAATGATATATGATGTTTTCAATGAGTTAAAACCACAATAAGTCATGTAACCTACAAGGACAAGTTCCAGAAAAAGAAAGTGTACTAAAGAATTGGAAGTGGATCCAAGATGGAAAAACTACAAAATCAAGTACATTGGCAAACACTCCAGAAAGAAGAAGGGGAGATACTAATAAAAAATAAAATATTTATAAAAAGTAGTAATCTCAAAAGAGGGGATGTTGTGGAGTAAATAGTACACCTTTGGTGACTATATGAACTAGTCCTTAACTATAAATAAAGAGCTCCAGGTCAGAGGTAAGGAAGAAGAAGACATTTGGAGTTAGTCTTCAGAGTATACAAGCATCACAGCAAGTTACCAAAGCATTACTTATATTATAAACACTACAAAATGTGTTGTAACAACTTGTTACTATGGCTACTCAATGTTACCCTCTGCCTCTCTTGCCTTCAATGTCCTTTGAGTGTCAAATTCTACAAAACCTTTTTTTCTTATTTCAACTGTCTCTTTCTGATTCTAAATGTCCTCTTTGTTTCCATTTTCTTTAAAACTTCCTTGTTACTCTCATGTTTTGTTCATGGTATTCTGAGCATTTTTCTGTAGAACCATATCTCTATTGTTTTGAGCCATGTCGTCATCTATGAGGAAATTGTCCAGCATTTACTGCCGTATAAGAGAACTGATAGTATGTAGCAGTTTAGCACAATCTTCTTTGTTTCTAATGAAATCTTTAGGTTTCTTAATACTTTCTTTAGCTTAAGGAAAGCATTTTTTGCTATTTCAATGTGTCTTTGGATTTTAGTGTCACATTTTCAATCCACTTTTTGAAACACTTCCAAGATATTTAAATTTCTGTATTTGCTTGGTTAGATTTGTGAAAAAATTCTCACACATTTTTTGAGCCAGAAGGATCACTGGAAACTTTTGCTTACACACTTAATATATTTGATTGTATACAAGACCCCGCCACCCCCTCTGATATTAAACTTTCCCAGCAGATCCTACATGTAAACTTGAGGTACTATCTGGTAGCCTAATTCCATAATACTGTAATATTAAATGTAAATACAGAACATTTTACAGTTTTTATTCATTCATTTGCTGAAATACTGGTTTATATCTGGCTGGAGGTTTAAACACAACCAGAGTTGGTTACAATTACAGTAAAATGATTTCATGTTATTTAAAACTGCTGGATATTTTCTCATACCAAAGTGAAAGAAATTAAATTTAGCTAAAGAATATTTAAGAATCATGGCTGACAATGAATGATTTGTTACTATCTTCATGCCATGAAACTTTCCCAGTGGAGAATAGAGCCATAGCTTCAGCACACAAGAGTCACAGCCTTACTACATCAGGTGTTGCTATTATGATTTCTCTAGCAAGTATTTGCCAGTCCCAAGCCCAGACAACTTTGAATTCAGTGTAGTCTTTCTCCTAAAATGCCAACAAAGAGAGCCCAGTG